GAGGTTCTATTACATGAACTTCTTTTGTTTTCCTGTAATATCTCAAGATTATTCCATTTCAAGTCGAATGGCATGATATTTTTGCGTGAATCTTTCTAAACATGTCCCTGACGGATTTTGTAATTTTACCTCAACCTTGTCCAAAACCGTGACTTCTCTCACGTCCACGATCATGAAATGCAACCTCATTCACTTCAGGGAATGGAACAGAGACTATTGGACAGGATTGATGATTTTTTAATAACAATTGCTTAGTTTGTTCAGCTACAAGAAGGCATGAAATCAGTTTAGAATACTTTGTAAATTGATGCTCTTTTTATTGCTACTAAATGAGCATATTTATCAACATGAAAATTTCAACACATTATTTAGATTATATTCACTAACTGATTCATAATTTTGCAACTTCAAATACAATCAATTGTAGGGAGTTTTTTTTGGGAGGATTATGGTCTTCTGGTGCTCGTATCTCTCCTTCAAATTATTCGACAAAGTAAGTGGATCTTATACCGTAAGGTACTCATTTTTAATTCTTCTTGGAGATGGTGACGAGTGAATATCATTGTCTTTGCGTGATCCTTCAGGGATGCTTCATTTTCATTTTTGATGGTATCTCCAAGATTTATTGCCTCAAGGTAGATCTCAACATCAAAGATCCAAGATAAATAAATTTCCTGAAATATTAAGATTTATGATTTATGATTTTGAAGGATTTGACATAGTTATGCACTAAACACAACAATAACAATATATTTAGTATTATGTGAAAATATGAAGAAAAATATAGAATTAGTCTTATCATGAACTGCTCTTACAAAATATTTATTCAGAATTTCTTTTATTTACCTCAACCACTTTGTAGAAAAATCATACCAACCTTATTTGTATGTGATTCAACTTTTCCTTCTCAGCTAGTCAGATTCTCGTGCTGATAATGTGTTATAAAATTAAAGCAATACAAGAGAAAATAAGAGCTAAAGAGAATAGTAAATAATTAGAATCAAGAGAGTAAATATTACTTCTCATTCAATCTTATGCATACCAAAAATATCCAGGAAAAATTTGTGTAGATATAACATGTGAATTTGAAGAAGTTAGTGGAGATGAGAGGTTGGTGAAGTGAAAATGGTAAGGTTGGATGAGTTGTTGAAGTTGGAGAGGTAGGTAAATTAATACAACCTCATCTACTAAATTCTACCATATTTTATTAATCTCATTTTCTTATCTTGAATCAAAATAATATCTCTTTAAATGGTTATTTAAATATTAGCACTGAGAGTAAGTTTTCCATCAATATTCCAAATATGTTGTGTCATCTCAGCAACCTCTAGTAATAGGCCTTACGGGCCCAACCACTACAACAACCTATCAAAGGCCATGTCCTCTAAAGTCCAATTGGACCTCACCTACACAACTCATCTTATCAACTCACAATACATGTCCAACAATCGAAATATATACAACGGTACCCTTAATATAACATAAAAGAGCAAATTATGCTGGAAGTTTCTGTATTTTAATTCTTATAATTTCAATTAACTCAATTTTGATCAAGAATGACTTTATCTCAATTTGATTTAATTTATTATAATTGTTAGTGTTTTTTTAATTAAAAATACGCACATAAAGGGCATGTGTCATATTTTTAGAGTTAAAATTATAAATTTACTCAATTTTGAGTTAATCTTAATTAATTCAGCGATCAAATTCTATCAAAAGTCCTATAGGTGTTATTGGATCAAATTGATATAAAATTTAAAATTAAGAATTAAAATTAAGTTAATAAAAAATGTAAATACCAAAATGACACAAAAAGTAAAATGTAAAAATTGTCACTGTGATTTGTCTTGACATAAACAACTAAACAAAAGACATACAACTTATTCTCTACTCATCTAGACCTTGCAATGGACCCAAGACTTTGAAATACCTGAAAAGATAGTCACTAAAGAGAGTGAACTAAACATGCTTACTGAATGTACTAGCTCAACAAAAATAGAAACAAGTAATAATACGAAATTGCGAGTCATCACATATAAATACTTATGTAGAGTTCATGAACATGAACATATATACTTCTCACACTTTAAATCACTAAATTCTCACAAAGAAAACTTGTGATATATAGGATTTCTTTTCAATTTAAAGTGAGGAATCCAGGTTTATTCATACCTTGATTGAGCTTCAAACAAAGTAATTTCCTTCTTCAATTCCTCTTTCCTCTTGATTTGCCCCCACCTTTCCACTATTTCCTTGAGAAAACAGTCTCTCTTGTCCCACTTATCATAATTCAAGAATTATACATACAACCAACCATATATTTTAAATTTTAATTGTATTGAAAATAATGAGTTACTGTGATGTATGAATTGTTGACTTTTTATTTTTTATTTTTGATTATTTTAATTAAAATTCAATTTGCCAAAAACGGAAGAAACTAGGTGTCAAGGTCCCACACTACCTCCACAAGCACCTCAATGACTCACACCAATTGATCATGATTAAAGATAGTTAATCATACTTAATATAATGAATCATTGATTATGCTACTTTTTTTTATTATTTATTTATTTATTTTTTATCAACAAAAGAAAACTTTATTGATGATAAAGCTATAAGTTACAAAGAACTTACATAAAAAAAGTAGGGAGGTGCATCAAGCATCAAAGCTAAACTCATCAATCCCAACTAGGTTGGCACCGAAGAGCAAGCCCTATCATATGCTAGCACTCAGCCTAAGATTGGCGAGAGTCCAATCAAACAACCAAAAAAGAAAAAGAAGAAAACAATATAAAAGAGTAGAACACTCCCAAGTGCAAACTAACCCCCGAACTGCACACAGCCACTTAATGCCGAGAACAACTCCTTGGTAGGAAGAACTAACAGCAGCTTGTAGCAACAACAAAGTGGTTAAAACCCAAATCTGCATCAGCAGCAACAATAACTTCCCATCCAAAGGCAATAGCTGGACTTCCCCCCCACAAGAACAACCTAATCTAGTTTAAATTGCACAAAAAGTCATGTACAAAGTACTACAGACTTGCCACACAACTATTGGCCCTGAATGCTACCCTTAATTTTACAACTTCCACCAAATCAGAAAAGTTTGCTTGCCCACCATTGAAAAAAATCTCATTTCTTAATTTCCAAATTGACCAAAATAAAACCAATGGCACAATCTTCCAGATGCACATTACCTTCTTCTTGAACCTAACACCAGCCCACCATTGTAACAGAGCTTCGATAGAACCTGGAATTACTCAACACACATCCCACCAGCTCAAAATACCAGCCCAAACTTTCCATACCAGTGGACAGTGGAGGAGAATATGATTGACTGTTTCCACTTCATTTCTGCAGAAAACACACGAAATACTAGCATTGCCGTTCAACACCTAAATCCGATGAAGAAAAGTTGTTGTTTCGACTCTACCCTGCCAAGCTAACCACCCAAAAAACTACAATTTTGGAGGTAAAGCAACATGCCATAACCATTTGGCAAAGCGCAAGTCAGGACCCCTAACTACTTGTAGCCACAACCAAACTAATGACACTGTGACCTGACCCAATGAATTCAACTCCCACGACAGACAGTCATCCATTTGCCCACTATTGGTAAGGACATCATCAGCCAGTCATGGAGTCTACTTACCTCCTCTTTTTCCCAAGCTCTGAGCTGTCTTCTGAACCCCAAATTCCAATCCCCTAAACTCCCCATTCTCTGCCTATATTGCATAACAGAGCCGTCCCTATCTTCAGAAATACAGAACCTTGGAAATTCCTCACTGAGCTTTCTATTGTTGCACCATTTATCGGTCCAGAATTTCATTCTGTCCCCATTCCCAACCTTCACTCTTACATTATCAAGATAAAACTCAAGTAACCAAGGATTAACCTGAGCAAGATGAAGGATACCCTACCAAATTGGAGACACTCTCCTTACATCCCCCATCTCTGGCCACCACCCACTACCGACCCTCCCATAAATATTGCAAATTACTGGTTTTCAAAGTGCTGTATCCTCTGCACCAAACCTCCACCACCACTTTAACAGTGAACAAACATTCATGTATGCTATGCTTCTAACCCCTAAACCACCTTGTCCTTTAGCCTTGGTTAGCTTCTACCATTTTACTAAATGGACTTTGTTTC